ACAGGCCATTTCTGACCACCGGGCCATGTGCCTGCACTATCCCCGGTACTGCCACTTCAGGGGCCGAGACTGGTACTCAGGGCTGTGAACAGCTCTCCCGCTGGACAGCACCGTGTAAGCAGTTGTACAAATACAAGGCACCTTGGAAACACCTTATCTGGAAGCTGGCAGCAGCTGCTTGAGAGTGATTTTACATTGCACGTGCCCAGTGCCCTAGGCAGAGGGACAACTAAGCCCTACCACACACAGACTTCAGAATGGAGCCAGTGTATTTTCTCTTATCTGCATGTATCCGTTGCAATTCCTGATGAACCCCTTTTCCTGCTGCTTCTGTGACAGGCAGCTGTACAGGACCGGTTGAATGAGCAAGAGGGCGTCCCAAGTGTCTTCAATCCGCCGCCATCCCGGCCGTTGCAGGTTAATACAGCTGACCACAGGATCTACAGCTATGTTGTTTCAAGGCCACAACCAAGGGCAAGTTATATACTAGTTTGGGTTTGTCTCTTTGAGAATGGGTAAGATCTCTGAAGACGGAAAGGAATAAATCAACAGGGAAAGAAATTCTTTGTGTCCATATCAGATCTGCTTTCTTGGTTCGAAGTGGGGTTTTTTCTTGAAAGCTACCAACAGTGCAGCTGCCTAGGCAGAACGGTTCTTACCCTCTCCCTTATAGCTTGGGATGGTTTCCTTTCCTGTATTTTTCACTGTACATAGCAAACTCCTTCCTGCCCGTGAAGCTGGGAGTGAGGGCAGAGCAGAACCCCAACTCACGTGGCCCAATTCAGCTAGAATGAAAGTCTGTTCCTGCTGGAGGTTCTCTCTTTGTATGACGCTCTGCTGAAGTGATGCAGTCGATTTTGCTAGCAATTAGTCTGACTGCAGAGTTAACATATAGCAATTGCATAACACTCCAGTCTCCACAGAACTTATAAGATGAGTAAGAGCTTTATCCCTATTTCACAAGGTGGGAAAGTGAGATGGAAGATTAACGCCTAATTTTTGGAAGTGGCCACTAGGGATGTAGTAGTGGAGTCTATTAACTGATACGCAGAAGCTGATAGGTTAATGCTATAGACTACACGCATTCTCTCCCCTGGCAAGTACATTTTTTAGCAGGCTGGCTAGCAGCCCGGCTGAGTCCTGGCTTGTG